ATATATCATATCAGGCAACAAATAGAGGATCTTGGAATCTTCTTTGTGCCTGAACGCACCAATTTGGGGGGCAGAGTCTTTTTGTTTAAAGTTCACAGAGAGGAATGCTATTTCTCGTTCCCCTTCATATTGTTCTCCATTTTCGATACATGCTCAAAGAAAAGAAAATGAAAATTAATACGAGAGCCGCACCTCCCAAAAGAAGCCATTCGTCTTGTTGATTATCTATTTGGTTGTCAAGGCTTGAGCTATTGCACCGGCCCGTTCCTTTTCCGTAATGTCTGAAAAAAAAAATAGAAAAAGAAAAACGTGTGTACATAATACTGCTCCAACATATATAGATGGGTGAGGTTAAATCTACAAAATTAAACCCGTTTAAGCGTTGGAATATATTTTTTCTGCGCTTTTAGGCTGAGGGAATAGAAGATCTATGGTGTTTGGGGGGGAGGAGGGACATACATGTCCAAGCTGCGTTAGAGCCGCGCGTTGGAGCTTCTGCTAAATTAGGTGGAGAACCGGAGAAAAACGGAAAGACGGCTTGTGATTTAAAATGAGATTACAGGATGTAATGTAGCAGGATCACTCCTGGCCGGAACAGATAAATCATCGCAGCCACATCATCTCTGCAGACAGCTTTGCAGGCAAAAACCAACACTTGGATTATATGAAATTATTTAATGGGACAAATATTTATCCCAGCGCTTAAACCCTATAAGAGTGGATGTGAAAAGAAAAAAAAATAAAGGTATTTTTTTCTGAAAAAAGGGGGAAAATCTAAATCTAACAATAGAAATACAATCCCGCAAAAATCAGGAAGCAGCAACGACCCTATAGGTGATGATCCCGCTTTATAAGAGAAATAAACATTGAATAAACTGGAAAAATTACACGTTCAGTCGTTTATTTATATTTCTGGTCTATTTACACAGAACATAAAGCTTGACACTGGATGAACAGAGAAGAGCATCGGTTGGTAACACATGTTCAATGGAGACAGCATCTGTTTCCAAACATTTGTAGAATCATATCATAGCGGGGGAATTAAAAAAAAAATCAGATGTGGAAAAATAAAAGAATACGATGGTAAAATTAGGGGAAATAAACAAATTACCCTGTATTGAATAATATGACCCATATTAGCTTAAAAAAATCCTTAGATGACATATTTTGTTTAAATCCAACATAAAATGAAAGAAAGGAGCTGAGTTTTACCTCTTCATGTCATTAAAAGCCTGAAAACCGGTCACTTCATAAACAAGCAGAAATAACAAACATATATATATAATATACCATAAAACATAGTATATATATTTATAGATATATATATTATTTACAAGTGAGGTAATAAGTAATACATTATTTAGTGCTGTGTTTTGTACAGTTTGTACGATGATTTGGTGTGCGCTGCAAAAGCGAGCTGGAAATAGGTAAACATGGCTTAAATTTAGTGTTTTTAACCTTAATATGAGGATTTTCCTATGAGTATTTTTACACTTAAAATAAGATAATTAGTTAATATGCACTTGAAATAACAGAATGCATTGTTTTCTTATTTTAAATGTAAATTGTCTCCCTTTCCTCCTCAATTCAAGAAGAAATGCACTTTTACTTTTTTTGCAGTGTGATTATTAATGTCTTGTGGGCAACTTCCATATTTAGTATGAGCTGGAAAATGCTTATTTATATATAGGCAGCGCCTGCAGCATGTAGAACATCATAACCGGACCAGTTATCCTTCCACACCAGTCTAAGCAAAGCCAACAGAGAACCGTTTATCAATCAATACTGACTTCAAAAATAACATGTTTAAAATCCACATTCTGCCAACAAGCAAGTCATGAAAACCGAGTTTAAACTTCTAGCAGCGTTGAAGCGACCCGCCTGTCGGCTTCTACCTGCGGATACATGTTCTGTTTGAACACTGCAGGCACGAGCATGGCTACATGATGCTGCTTTCTGTTTTTACGCCCTGTGCATGGGGGTGGAGTGCGCGCATTGGAGGAAGCGACAGTTCATTTTTTATAAGGGTGGTGGTGGTAGGGGGGGGTATTGGTCTGAGGGGGGCGGGGTAGTTGGCAGAGTCACCCCTTTGCTTTGTATCCTGCTCTGAAAACATGAAAAATGGCTCCTGGGTTCGGTGTGATTAAACATGGAAACGAGGATGTTCTAAAAGAAAAGGGAAAAAAAGGCTTAGAGAGGAGAAGAAAAGAAAGTAAAAGCAGAGAAAGATTCAAACCGATATATCCTCTGAGCGACGCATGGTAGGGATGACGTCACACTGGAAGAGTAAGTGGAAGGGAGAAAAAAAACAGAAGATGTAAAGTTTGATAGGAATATGGAAGGCGAACAGCTGGAATGTGTAGCTCTAGTGTTCTTGGTTCTGACACGTCTCTGCGTTCTTCTCCTGCACAGACCCCCCCCCCCCCCCCCCAATCCAACATTAAAAAAAAGAAAACATTGTTAACGGATCAAATCAGTGGGAGTCCAGCTGTATGCAATGACTGATCTTTCTTTCTTCTCAAGAAGTGAGTTCGTATTCCTGTCCAAAGTGTTTATTCCCGGAGCTTCTGATGGGTCACTCCTTCAGTTTCAGTCTAGAAGCCGAGAAAACAAAGCTAACTATAGAGAGGTAGCCTACTATAGAGGTCCAGAGGAGCGGCTCTGAGAAACGGGCATAGTCTGAGAACCTGAGGTGCTGTTGGTCCCGGAGCGGACTTTTGTGTTGGGCAGCTTGTGGTCCTTCTTCCATTTCATCCTCCGGTTCTGGAACCAGATCTTAATCTGACGCTCTGACAGGCACAACGTGTGCGCAATCTCTACCCTGCGCCTCCTGGTCAGGTAGCGGTTGTAGTGGAACTCCTTCTCCAGCTCCAGAACCTGCTGGCGCGTATAAGCTGTCCGGGAGCGCTTCGGCTCTCCACCCGAGTAATTGGAATTGACTGTGGAAGAACAAAGGAATGGGGCATTAAAAAAGCCAAACATCAGCCAGTAAATACAACAGAGCGGCCATAAGGCCTGGCGACATGTTTACTGGGTCTGAATTTCACACTAAACCTCAAGGAAACACTAGAAAGACCTCATAAACTAACAGACCACAGTCATTTATAAGTTGTTGAAAAATTGGGAGCAATATTTCTGTGGACTACTGTGTTATTTTTGATGAATAAACAACAAGCATAAGCCGCTGATTCACAGACAGCGTCCAAACAATGATCATCGTGTCTAGCAGCGCGCACAGAGTCAAACCTTTTGTGTTTTGTGTTTTGTTGGGCTATCCGGTTGCCCAGATGTTGCCAGATGACACGCAAGGCCCGCCGACAGCGACACTACCCAACTAGATGCTATGAGGAAGCAGCTATGATCAAACCTCAAACAGAAAACGTTTGGAAATAAAACGCTTTTTTCCAGCAAACACCAATTTAGACCTTGAACTGATACCGTTCGCCGCCGTTTTCGGTTATTTCTTGTGCAAACTGCACCGATGAGAGCAGGAATGCCGCCATTCTCTGTGTGTGCTTACTAATGGGAAACAAAGGCGGTGATTTTTGGTGGAGGTGGGGAGATGAGCGGTTCAGCAGCAGCAGGGGTGATGCTGCTGGATGGCTGAGAAAGTAATGATTCAAGAAATCTGGAAAAAAATAAATAAATCCCAATCTGGACGCAGCGGTGAAGTGAAACAACCAAACAAACAAGCCAAATAATAAATGTCGGTGTTTCTAAATCCGTTTTATGGAGGAAAACATTCCTATGACTTTGCAGATCTGATATTTTACTGTTGAGCGATGAGCGCTCAGATTACAGAGCAATAGACTGCAAAGCCAGTTTAAACATGCCGGGAGAAGCCGCACCAGACTATAGCTGTTCACTTTCACATTAGTGTTTTACGGCCGGCTCTATAAACATGAATATTTCATCTGCCATAAAACTTTCCTTTCCCTGGAAGAGCGAGAGAGACGTGAGGCTGGAGTCCTCCGTTTATACAGCCGCACCACTTAAAGTCGAATTACCAGCGTATAAAAGCTAACTTATGGGCTCGCACTGAGTTGTCATAAGGCAGAGCAGCCTGAGATCAGACTTCCAAAGACACCACAGCTGAGAGGTGTAATAAAAATTTATGGAGGGTGTAATTATATTGACCCTGCAAACAGACGACCGTAAATCTAAACCCTGCAGCGACTCCTCTGCTGCTAACGGAGCGGAGGGCGCAGAGGTTTGGACACCGAGCTGTCTGCACGGCCAGCTCTACGCTGCAGACCGAGGGGGGGGGGAGGAGAGGGGGGTAAAGTTACCATGCGGCTCTTACCGATGTTTACATGCACTTTCTTCATCCACGGATAAACCACCGGGTCCTTTCGGCCGCCGACGGGGGACGCAGCGCTTTGGCCGCAGGGTGGAGGTGGGCTCGGCGTGACCGAGTCACAGCGGTGACTCTGCTCCGACAGGGGGGTGGTGTGGAGCCCGGCGGGCAGAGCGGTGCGCCCCTGGGGGGACGTCACTACCGAGGGTTGCGGTGCGCGCTGGCACGGTGTGTACGGCGGCTCGACCCGTGGCTGGTGACGATGATCCGGGTGGTGCTCGCTGTGGTAGATGGAGTCCGGCCGGAACGCTGCGGGCTCCTGCCTCTGTGAGCTGTAATAGTCCGGGGAGTGACTGGGCAGATAGTCGCTCTGTGAGTACTCCTCGCAGGGTGGGAACTTCGGATCAACATAGTTGGAGTTGATCAAATAGGAGCTCATGGCCATTAATTTCAGCCTTTTTCTGAAATTGCGCCGACTTGAAAAGATATATAACTAAAATTTATATGTCATCCCTTTAGTCTTCGGTTATTCCTGTTCACTTGAACCCTCCTACTTTTCTGTCAAGTGAACAAAGTTAGGATTCCACGTGACCACAGCCAGCCAATGGGAAGCCTTCGGTCGGACCCCCGGATAAGGAAATGGAATTAAACATACACAGCGCTCCCGCACGCGCATGGTCACATGACCTGAGTTTTTGATTAGACCCTCTCCCTCCATCCTCTCTCTGATGGCTGGCTGTCTCAGATCAACACACTCGCAGCCTGAACTGATGCAAAGAATGATAAAAAAAATAATAATAAAGTAATTAAAACGAGTTTGATGAAACAATCTAAATAAAATCTTTAAGAAAAATGAAAGTAGCAGAAAGCGGTTCTCTGGGGAGTTCACGGCGCCTGCGCCTTTCTCTGTGTGCATACAGGCTGTTTGCCAACTTTCTTTCCCCTAATTCTCCTCCGCTAATACCGGGGAGTGGGAGAGAGGCCCGGCCTGCTCCTCCTGCACCGCCACCCAGTAGCAGTGTCAGAGATTAATCTGGCTTGTTTAGGATCGATAGAAAATTCATCAAGTAATTCAGGTTCCGCGGCCTCCTAAATCACCAGAAAATCTTTGCATGAGGAGCGAGAGTTCAGCACCGGTGTCCTTCTTTAAAAAAAAAAAAAACAATGCGGCTCCAACAGGCACTCAGCCAACAATCAGCTCCACCTCAGTTACTGATTCAGCCGGGGTCGCCTTTCACTTTGCATGAAAAATACTGGATGAAGCTCCTTTTTATTCTCCATAAGTCGATAAAACCAGCAGAGAAACAAAACCTTTTTTCTTTTCATCTTTACGCACAGACCTTAAAAAATGTATCTTTTTCCTTCAGATGTACATCTGTACATCATCTGGAAACCAAATATATACAAAATAAATGCAAAGTCAAGCATAGTTTATTTTAGGAGACAAATACTATTAATATAAATGATGCATCATGTTTTTAATTTAAAGAATTTGCTGAAATAAAAACATTAAGAGGAACCCGAATAAATATCCGAATCAATTAAATTCAGAAAGCAAAGAGAAAACAATCCCTACTTTTTAAAATAAATATTTCCCCTCCGTGAAATATTAATATCAGAACCTCATCAGTAGGTTTTTCATCAAAGGACAGATCATTTGGGGAAAAATAGAATTAAATTAACAAAGGCAAATATATGCAGCCATAAAATCGATTTATTGTATTTTCAAATTTAATCTACAGCAAAATCTGCATGAAATGTGCTTTTTTTAAATCAGAAAATGTCAAACAGGAAGCAGCAACCTGTTGTGACGTCTAGCTTCGCAGGAGCTGCGGTGAATCCGTCGCTGCCGTCGTGTTTAAATCCACTATATACTCCCCTAGAAGCGAATTTGTGATGCTTTCAGTCATTCTGACACAAATCCGGATCTACAGGGTAGATATAGAAGACATGGGCTCTGTGTTGTTTTCATAAATCCAGATTTTCCTTCATCACAGCTGTCCTTGACCCCTGACCTCATGAGCGCGTGGATTAAATATGAACGCAAACTTCCTGCGGCCTCAGGGCGCGGATTAAAAAGCCGAGGATAAAGCGAGCAGCTGGAATTGAACATGCTCCTCTTGTTTCTTTGTTGAACTGAATAAAGTCTATGGCTGGGGGGGGTGATGCAGTGGGGAGGTTGAACCGAAAGCTCCAGAATAACTTCCACATTTCCAAGATTATTTATAAACGTTTACTGAAAACACATAAAATAAATAAACAAGCCTTCAAGCTATTTATAAAAATTATA